AGATTAGTTAATATATAAATATTAGATTATTAATTTGCTATGATTTGTAGCATAATCTTAATAAAATAAGCATCTTTTTAGTTTTCTTAATATTTTTCAACATGTAATTATTAGTATTTGAAAAATTAAAATTCATAGTTAATAAGATGTTTATGATCGTATATAAATTATTTTTTATGGGTTAACATTAAATAATGAAATCAAGTTAAAAATTTGAAATGTCATGAGGCAGATTGTAAAGCTTGCAAAACTTTTCAATATAATAAGAATTTATTAAATAATTTATGTATTAAATTAAGAATTTATTAAATAATTTATGTATTAAATTACGAAGATACTTTGAAAGTTTAATTGAAGATTGACTTACGTCAACGTTATAATTTAGACTGCCAATACGGCAAATATAATACTTATTGGTGAAACTAATACTGTAATTCGTTTAAATTAATTCAAATCCGAGTATACAGTAATTACATGTCAATATTACCATATAAACGAAATGATATATTAATTATAATGAAGGAACGATATAATGTAACAAGCGTATTTCTGGTCAGCAACAACGGGTTGGCCAGTTAAAATGCCATTATTGAACACACCATTTTGGATATGTGTCCAAATATTTGAATGTCTTAATATCTTAGAAATTTATATTTGAATTTTTATTCTGTATATTGTACTATAAATTTTTAGAATTGTTTTCTGTGTTATTGCTTAGTCCTTTTAAATCATTATATCGTTGTTTTCTCTAAAATGTAGTTTATTATCATAAATACGATTCCTCTATGGAGAATATTCCTTTTACATAGAATATTCCTTTTTTTATATAGAAATGTGTTTTGTGTGCTTTTTATTGTAATGCAGAGCCCTGATGAGTGTTTTATTATTTAAATAAATAACACGAAACGCGTCGGCGAAATTAAACTCTGCATTTCTATTTAATTAATTCGAATTCAAGCACATCGATCAAATCTTTTTTATAGTCGACATAATAGTCGATTGCTGAAAAGCGAGAGTTGAGATCAGCAGATTGATTTGTATCGGAGGGATATAGATTGATCTGTTTCTATTTGATTTACACCCTTACTAAATTGCAATATTTAAAATTCAATTTCAGTATAAAATTTCTAGGATTCCAATTTTTTTTTTCTTTAATTCTTCGTAATCGCTGCGTTCATATTATAAAATAATATTGACGTGCCATGAGGAAGGTATTGCCCAGTGGCAATAGACGTCCTTCCAGCCTTCGAGCGATTATTCTCTTCTGTCCCTTTTTCCCCCTGGGGTATAGATTACGACGATTCCATAATCAATTATAATCGAACAATTTAGAATAAGATAGATGTGCGTATGGTGTCTGTGGCTGTCAATGGTGGCTATCCCGCCGGACAGAGCAGAATCAAGGTTATTATAGGGGTTATGCTTCTTTTCATTCATTTCAGTGGTTATGATGTGTTGTAAATTAATACAAAACAAAATTAGATAAGGCCTAGTATAAGTTTTTATTTTTTTTTTGTTATTTTTTTGTTAATCTATTGCTTAATTGAATTTTTTGTCTGTTAAATTGTCTTTTTTTGTCTGTAAAAGAGTGTTACTTTTTTTATTATTTAAATAAAAGAATTTAATTATATCTCTAGTTTAGAAATATGAATAAATTTGGACAATCTACTGGTAGAATAAAGGTAAAAATTGTTTTAAATTTTTTTTTTCTTAGAAATAGTATTTATTTTTTTTTGTTTTATATTATCTTCAACACGTGCATATCAACTTCATGTAATGGTTTCCTCGATATTCTTTTTTTTTTGTATATTTTTTATTTGTATTGTTTTATGTACTTATTCTTTAAGTTAAATTCGAATAAATAAAATCAAAAAAAAAAAAAAGAGAATTCATTGATTCATGAATATATTTAATTTTTGCTTTGAACAGATCTTTATCTTGAAAAGCAACAATGTCGTCATTGCAAACAAATAATGTTCAATTTCGTATACCTAAAATAAAAAAATTGGATACAACCATCATAGATCCAATTCCAACTCCAATTCCAACTATAATTAGTTCAATCGAGAACAATTATCCAAAAATAACAATTTCTCAACTAGACATGTTTCGAATTTTTGCCCATTTGACAATACTGTTCATTGGAGATAATTCTATACGAACATTTTATCGTGATTTTGTCAATTTATTTTCTAATGGTCGATTATTAAAAGATTCAGAAATTTCTATACAAAATGGCGAATATAAAGAAATGAAATGTAATCTTTTTTGAAATACTTATTTTTTTGCTTTTCTATTGTATTAAATCGTTTTATTCATTAAGGTGAAAGACGTTTACAAAAAGGTGGAAAACTTGGTTCATCTGAATATAAAGATGTACGTCAATATTTTTGTGAAGCTTCATCAACACGATTAATATATATCTATATACCAACTGTTTTTGGAAATATAGGAGAAAAAAATATTAATTATTTAAAAACAATGAAGGACTGTACATCAATACATGCTGTTCTTTTTTCATTATATCATGGTGATCTAAATTTGTAAGTTTTAGAAATTGAATTTGAAATAGAA